AATTAATTATTACTAAATTTAGAAGCAGAAATATTCAACTGATGAATTCTACTATTAGCTACTGTAAACACCACGTAGTATGTATCAGATGTAATTTCTTCAGGACATCAGTATCAGTTGTTCACACACCAAAAATAATAATAATAACACCAACTGATCAACTCAATCCCCAAAAGCAAAAAAAAACCAAACTCATAAATTACAAAACATGTAAACAAAACCAGTTTATTGATTTCTTGATTTAAGGTCAATTGGATACTATAAATGAGACAACCTGTACATACATTGGTTATCCTATTATTACTACTATTATTATTATTATCATTTAGTAATGATAGATAGTGGCTAGCAGTTGAATCCAGGATGCGTATTTCATCGTATTTGATACTTGCCAGCAGAATCTACCTGTATCCCAGTGACAGGCATAGTTTTAGTGTGATTGCTTATGTTACACCGTCGTTGATTGGACCGAATTGATTAGTCTTAACTATATAGTTAAGAACACAGGCAATATCGAGGCATCCACACAGGAGCCCATATGCCAACAGAGACTGATCAATTCGGTCCAATCAATGACGGTGTAATACAAGCAATAACATTATTATTATTATTATTATTATTATTGCAAGTGAACTGATCACCTCACTTTACCGGTTAATAAACAATAAAAGTTCAAATTTTCTGCCAAAGAAAAACATTTTAATCTTTGGTGTAACACGGTCAAATAAGCAACAGTATAATTTTACAGGTTTTTCTCTATTTCTAATATATGCAGTGCAAAAATGAAACGGATTTCTTGTTGTTATTCAGTCTTTCTTTTCTTGTCTTCTTTACAAGAACATTACAAACAATAAAGAAGTTAATATTACATTTGAAGTAAAATGAAGTGGCCAAACATTTCTCTTTCAACTAATATCGAAAATCGATAAATATTAGTAACGATAGTGATAGTATTGATCAAACATTGAAATCAATCTTTCTACTATTTGTAAAATGTTATGATTGATACTTATTTGAGTGTATTGTCTTCTTAAATATTTAAACTATTAATTAGAAAAAGGAAGTTGAATAGATTATGGGCTGATAGGTGATTGCATTGTTCAACTGTTCTAACTAAACTCTTATACTAATAAAAACCACTAAACTGAAGAGCTGAATAGCTAGTGTGAGCCACATTCTATTCATCTCTCATCATAAGTAAACTGTGAATAGTTGTGTCTCAAGAGGAGGATTTTGATAAGTAAGACGATGCAGAAGACTTCAGGATTATGGCAGTCTAGTGTTCTCTGAGCTTCCGTATTTTATCGTGGACGTTTCATCACCCCATGATATCCTCAGCACAAAAATTCATAAGTAAACCAGATTCCAGTATTGTATTCATTATAATGACTAGTAGTGGAATCCACGGTGGGCGTTTCGTCCTACCTGGGAGTCGTCGGTTGGATGATATTCTCACTGAGACTCTTATCCAGTACTCATCGCTTCAGATACCCCCCAGACCACTAGAGTACGACAGCCACCTCTTTTGCAACGAGTATCGCTTGTCGTTTGATACTTATCTGTGATACTTATCTCCTGTTGCTGTACAGAGTCGAAATACTCGACATACGTCGGCAGCTGGGTGCCTATGTGAATGCCTCGACGACTCGATTCGAGTGTTTTTCCTGACCATCATACCCTGACCTATTCGACCGTTAGTTACACACGGTCACGCCATTAGAGAATCTTTGTTGGAGTAAAATTATGCTGCTTGCTGTTGTCACATTGTGTATGTTATTAATTTGTTTAGTCAATTTGTCTTTGGTTGATGGATGACTGTTTCCTTCCTAAGCAGACTGTAGATTAGGTCTATATCCAGATGTCTGTTGATCGACTTTCTTTTGGAATCCCATGCTTCTATGGATTCTGTTTGAGCCTTCGGACATGCTCTTTAAAGGATTTACACATCCTCCCAGCTAAATTGGCTGTCGTGATTCTCTATATGTATTAAAACCAAAGAGACCATGTCGCTTTACTGCTATTTGGTGTTCATAAATTCTTTGAGCAATCCGATGACTGGACCAGCCAACGCAATGCTGCGAGCAATCTTTGCAATTATTCGGTTGATAATATTTGTCCTATCTTTTTTTAACAATGGTTCTTTTAGTTTGTACAAGATGCTTAGAAAGGACGAATCAATCGGTTGATTGTTTCTGAAATGTTTTCGATGTAGGGAAGTGTGATGCGTCTGTTGATTTGAGATAACTGCCTGTCATCTGTCCTGATGCTAAACATCTTTTGATAAAGTTGAGTGGAAAATCATTGACTTTCAACACTTTGTACAGGTGTTTCTCCTCAGTTTTCCGTAGTGCTTCGGTGTTGTAATGTGTTTCGGCTCTTGAGAATAATGTTTGTCCACAACATTTCTTATTGACTGTAAGATAACTGCTGTTGTAGTTCAGAATTTGATCTGTTTATGTGTTTTTCCGGTATATCTTGGTTCGCGACACCCTGTCATGTGTTTTGACGATGAGGACATCTGAATATGGAATTTTGTTATCGGTTTCCTCTTTCTTTCTGAAGTGACCGTTATTTAAATATATCCTATTTCACCTTCCTGAGAATTACAAACGTGTCATCAACGTAATGAATCCAAAATTTTCACTTGATTGATTGATTCCACCCGCTGTATTACTGATTGAGAAATCAATCCTGATATCGGCGATTGCACAGGTGTTCCTTTTGTTTGTTTATAAGTCTTTCCATTGAACTGTCAGTACGTTATGAAGCATATATAGATCATTTCTGTTAGGTTTGGAACAACGAGTTTAGTATTGTCTGTCTCCTTGACCAGATTTGGGTCAACTGAGTATATATATATATATATATATATATATATATATATATATACAGTGATAAGATTTTAGCACAAACAACCAATCACACTCAAGGTCATCAAGATAAGTAACTAAACCACTTCCGGAGAAAGTATCACAGTTCACTTCTTTATAAAATTTGTGAGGCTGATGATATTGTCTAGAATGCTAGTGAAACCTCCCACCTTTCAGATTAACGAGCCCCACACCCCCGAAAACAGTTTATCTATTTGGTTGTTTGAAAGGAATTATGACTTTTGGATTCCCATTTGGAAACTGGTGAGCTCGTCTACATCTAAATAAATCCAGCTGACTGATGAGTTCAAAACAGCTGAAAATATGATTCTTTTCTATTGATTGTCATGATGAAAATTGTGAAACTATTGGTGCAACCATCCACCTATCAACAGAGTTCAATAAAGTGAGGAATACGGAAACGGCTGATTCGCAAGAACAGATTAACTGTGTTTAAAAAGAAAGAAGATATGTAAAAGACAAACAATTTGAGTGTCTACACATTGGGCAGGCGCTGATTCAAATCTTTATCCAACTCAGATTTTCATTTCACCTCCAATTGTCACTTGATATCAATCATAGAACAGTCAACGAGAGTATTCACAATAACCTTTGATTCTCTACTCTGTATATTCATCAGTAATTAAGTGAAATAAATAAGAATTAAGGCGATCGCATCACCATGAAGAAATTCATCACCTTTACAGAGAAGATACCATCTTGATAGACTATTCAGACTGCAGCAAGTGGATCAAGAATTGAATTGCTTCCTTACTATGCGTGATTTGATGAGCCACAACTCTTGCAAATGACAAATTATGCACCACATGAAAACCTTAAACCTGCTTACATAACACCCACCTACAGGAAATGCATCCAAACAGTAGTTTTCAAGTAATTACTTCCACAAGAAAAAAAAGGATAATTGAAGTTGATTGAAGATCAGATCGTAGATTCAACTGCTTATAGTACAACAGTAAGTTGCATATATTTGCTTTTCATTTCTTCAGTGCAATTTTATTAAGGAATATAGTGGCAAGGCATGATCTCTCTGGTCAGTCAAGTTGGCTACGAGGACTAATACTCATGACTAAATAAAAAATCAGGAAAACTGAGGAAACGTGTATTATTTGATTCTGTTCCAGTGATTGAATGCCGATGTGCTCACTGAGAGACCTAAATGTCCTGGGTTCGTTCCCTGATGTAGTCCTGAACACACACACACACACATATATATATATATATCTGATGAGGTGTAAACTAGGGTGAAAAGACTATGCGGTGCTCCCAAGTTCTCAGTGGTTCGCCATGAATGCTATTCTTGGAACATCGTGCAGATGGCCTACTTGAATCATAGGCTGACAAAACATTTTCCCATTGATGATATTTTATCATCATATCCTTCCCTTTCTGTTTGTTTCAGTCTTTCGTATATGCCTTCTAAATGTATCATGTACTCTTGCACTAATTTCAAATATTTTCAAACTCTCATTTCTGATGCTAAGAATGAAACAAAAATGATATATTAATGCTTAGAAATACAATTTTCGTGTTGGGCTAATTGAACTACCACCAGAATGACGTTGTATTCATCCACAATCAGGGCTAGACACTAAAGTAACACCTGCTACTCATTTCGAATTAGCTAGTTCGATTTCGCTGTTGTTGGCACTACTCAGATTCAAAAATCATTTCGTTGATTTGTTTGTATGTTGAAACATTGCCTGCTGAAAATTCCATAATGCATCATATATGTTGTTTAAACTAAAGCGATTATTATTATTATCGTGAAGTGACAGAGGTAGGAAATATGGGTCATTAGATCCTAACCCAGTGGTTCATTGTTAACGTGCTGACCACGGAACCTGTAGGTCTTGGGTTCCGTTCTCGGTGGGGTCACGGGTATGCACTACTGAGAAGTCCCATACTAGGACGAAACAGCTGTTCAGTGCCCCCAGGTTTTCAGTGTTCCTCCAACTGATGTCAGTCAGTGATAAATTCCAACCTGGAATCCATTATTATTATTATTATTATTATTATTAATCGATTAATTAATTAATCTTCACAAATCATCAACTGGAAAATCAATTGACTTTTATATGGTTAAAAGGTGTCAATTTTTCAACTCACCTCCAATAACTCCTCTGAAAGTATTTTGGTAATTTCGATCAGCTCCAAGAACAATCTCTTGTGATATCAAAGAACCGTCCACAGATACAATACCTATCCGAGTAAAAACAAACAAATAAACAATAAGCGATAAGTGTTGAATAACTAGGTTCGTCAGTTTAAGCATAAGACAATGATGTAGGCATCTGATTTCGCTGGAATTTGGGTCACGTAACCAACTATCGTGCTGAAGAATGCGCTTAAGCAACAAATCAGGATTTCCAGTATGAGACCAAGAGGTTTCAGAATGAAGAAGAATTATGCAGCATAGTTATTGTGTATATGATTCAAGAAGGTGTTCCTTTGAGTTAGCAGAGATGTGTAGCATAGAATGTGAATAAAGATTGTTTGGTTTCCTTGAAGCTTTGAGGTTTGTCCCTCAACTAGATGACTTTATCAACATTTACTTTAATTCTTTATAAAGCAAGTACTGATGAAATCTCCTATTCTCGTGATGAAACCTTTGAGAAAAACCCCATACCTCGAAGAATAGCAAACAACTATCAGGTTTTCCTCTTTCTAATAAATGTATTGAGAGAGAAGTGGAGGCAGATGCAATACATGAGTTCATGCAGATAACTATTAATCATTTTGTTTTCTGATCTCTATACCGTCTTCGTTATCGCTGCTTAGACTGTCTCAGTAACACTGTATGTAGTTGGGTATATGACTTCCTTGAAGTTCACAAGTTCTCTTAGGTACTCTACTTTTTAGTGCACGTATTCCCTACAAATGACAGGTTGTGGTAGAGCCAGTTAGCATACTTTCGATAACTAAGCAATTATCAGGAACTTTATATGCATTAACTCCCGAAGAAGGGCGACCTAAGTCTTTGCAAGCGAAATATTAAGCCGCATCATCCTGGAGAGACTAAAGCATACGCTGGATTCAGGAAGTACAAATCATGTGCAGAACAAATTGCAACGCTTCGCATCATCATAGAACAGAGTATAGAATGGCAGTCAGTCCTCTACCTCAACTTCATCGACTTTGAAAACGCCTTCGACAGCGTCGATTGAGAAGTAATTTGGCAGCTGCTGCTTCAACACTACGGAATATCGCAAATCTTTATCAGCCTCGTTCAACAACTATATGAAGACTCCACATGCCAAGTAATTCACAATGGGGAACTCAGTGATGCTTTTGAAGTGAAGACAGGATTAAGACAAGGCTGCCTACTATCACCCATGATATTCCTGATTGTAGCGGACTGGATCATGCAACAAACTGTGAGGATCCAGGAGACGGGGATACGCAGAAAAGCACCTAGAAGACTTGGATTTCGCCGATGACTTGTGTCTGATGCCACATAAACTTGAAGATCTAAAGGCGAAAACTTACAAGTTGACAGAGGAGGCAGGGCAGGTCAGCGGTGACGGAACTTTAAGTGAATATAGAGAAGACAGAGATGATGATACCCAACCAACACCACCACCAACAACAACAAGTTCCAATCATCATCAGTGGGAGAAACTTTAAGGAAGTAGCCTCTTTCACCTATCTAGGCAGCACTGTTTCAACTACAGGTGGCGGGACAGACGATGTCAAAGTCAGAATTGGAAAGACAGCAAGACAGGCGTTCATTAGCCTGAAACCAGTGTGGAGATCTGCACTCAGCATGCAGAACAAGATCCGTATTTTCAACACCAACGTCAAGTCAGTGCTTCTGTATGGTTGAGAGACTTGGCGCGTTACGAAAGGGATTTCCAACAAACTACAGACATTCATCAACAGCTGCCTACGGTAGTTACTGAAGATCAGATGACCAGAATAATAATAAGAAGCAACAAGGAACTCACTCTGGCTGGCTGGCAACAAACCAACCAATAACCCATCACTCAACAAATACGCAGAAGGAAGTAGAGATGGATTGTGCATACACTGGGAAGGCCGACTGGGGACACCACGCAATATGCCGTCGAGTGGGACCCCGATGGGAGGCGACGAGTTGGGCGTTGGAGGTGAGGGTGACATGGAGGAGATGGTGTGAGTAAGAAATAAGAGCTTATGGGCTGTGGTGGGACCAGATTCAAAAGTTTGCGGAGAACAGAGTGCACTGGAGACGTGCTACTGAAGCCCTATGTTCCATTAGGAACCCAAGGGACAAATAATAAAAATATTTATATGCATTAAATATCCACTGGAGTCTTGCCTTTGTTATAAATAGTTACAGCCTTCGAAGTTATGCGATCGGAATTTCAAGGTCATTCTCCTCTATGTAACTTATTGGATCTGGTTTTTTAACCTTGGGAACTCTCAGTAGTATTTCCAAATAAGGATACGATATACACAGTTAGAAAGAGAGCTGAATACAATAATGGAAGCACTCGATTTTAGACCAGTAGATTCCACCTACTTTGGCCTGAGTAAACCAATGGTATTATGAACCCTTATAAAAAAGTGTGGCCTCCAATCTAGATGTCTGTAGTAAGTATTCCTTTAAAACAAAACGTGCTGAGTATCAACTCACAAGCGTATTCTCACTTCAAACTATTACTACAAAAGCTAGTTAGTGAAAGCTGTGAATGCAAAAACATTTGGACTGAGTAGAACTTCTAGTCTGATAATAAAGCGTTCGCCTGTTGAAGTTTGTCTTTTTAAAAGAACAACACAGTTTGCATACTCTCTCCGTTGGAGAAACAGTTGACAAGAACATGGAAAGATCTATTGAGCAAAGGAATCATTCATACAGGTTGATGATCACAGGTGAAATGGGCACTCTACTCATGGAAGGATTAGAAGCAGTAGTTTGAGTGGAAGTGAAGTCCTTGTCAATAAGCAGGTTTTCCAGCTGAGTTGGTGGTCATGGTGACCGCTGATCGAAATCCTATCACAGCCTAGGTTTCCATTTCACAGTCATTTATCACTCAGTGTCAGTAACACAAATCTGTCAAACACTATCTACGTAAGACAGTCAAATTGATAATATAAAGGGAAACATTTGGCGTAATCACAATACATTACACTGTATATGATCGTTACACGCTATTAATCAATTCTATAGGTTTCTTGAAATGTCTCAGTTGTCCTCAAGTTGGAGAAATTAGGGACGAAAAGTTCACTCTAGACTACGATTAAGCAACATAATATCACATCTTGACCCAAATTCGAACAGTTAAACCTCAACATTTGAAGAAAAGAACGGTAAAATCGGCTAGCAACTCGTTGAATGGGAATTATTCAGTTAATAGGCTCACATTTCAGCGCAGTCACTGTAGAGAAGACTTACTGGATGGTTAAGTTCTATTTAATGAATAATTTTTAAACTTCTGTATTGTAAAAGTTAAACAATGGAACGTCATATCCAACTTCTTGACTCTGATGACCAGTTTCGGTTACTGAACTTTAATTAGTAAACCAGGATCAGTATTTGTCAGCGTAGTTCTTAACCTTCTGGGAGGATAATAATTTTCCCCTCCTCCCCCCTCGCCCTAATACCTTGAGAATCAAAGGGACCCTATATTATTCTACTAGTAATAGAGATTATGAATGTCTAAGAAACTTTTTTCACGCCTATAAGCATCAACCAACTACCTACCTGCTTCTGAATTATCCTCTGAAGGCTACTTCGAAGTTGCTGTATGGTAGCAGAATCCTTTAATTCTTCTAGCATAAGATAGTATCATCATGTTGAATGATTCTTTTGATGTATTCTGGTTTTTATCAATTTACATACCGTGTCCTAGCAAAGTCAAAAGGCTTCACTGTAGACAAACGACCACCTACCTCTGAAAATTGTTATATTCAAGCATACACCTTAGCTTTATCTGTTTTGTAAGACCTTTGACAGCCACAAACTGGTCCCTAATGGATAAACTAATTAACTGCCTATCATTACTACTCAGCACTACCGATCGAAGTCTGTCAATTACACTTTGAGTGTAGCGACTCAGCTAACTGTTACAGAATTACGGTGAACTGCATTTTAGTACTAGCCCCAGGTTTAGTACTTGTTGGGTTACTCATCAGCAAGACATATTATTGTCCCATAATCTCACTATGCTTTCCATCTGATTCCTGATAAAAGCTAAAGGAGCTAAAACCGACAGGAATTTGTGTTGTCTGAGGCTGTGGCAATATATCTTGACAACCATATGACTAAGAACTGATTTCGATAGATCAGGCTACGTGGGACACCATGGTGCGACCGATGCTTCGTTATAAAGCTTAGTCTTTCAAGATTGAGTTACCGGTATATTTCATGTCTAAAAAAGCCTCCTACTGACGTTTCTTGATTTATCTATAACCAAGGGATAACAACTGATCTACTTGTCATACATGTGAAGCCGCTAAAGCATCGTTATCCTGTGTGTAGTATAATTTTAGGTTGAATCAATCAGTTAAGAAGTGTATAAGGAACTGATAGTTAAAGTCACATCCTGAGCGATAGGATGACAAGACATTCCGGCCTTGAATGTTTCCGAAGAGACCTGATAACAGGTGTAGTTCAATTGTGCTGGCTTGTTATCACAAGCGGTAAGATTTGTGGGCTTACCTACGTGTTAGAAACTGACATCCAGTGTGAAAATAAACTGATTGTTCACTAAGCAAGTCAATCGCTGTCAGTATATACTACTGCATTATCTAATATGAAAATAAGTTTGCTTTATAAGGGAGAAAGTAGCAGTCAGAGTTGAAGCAAGACAAAACGTCATCAGTCCCCCTCCCATCTTAGTCGGTCAATTAAAACCAAAAGGTTAAATAAATTACTGCCACAGTTCAACAGCAAACGAAGAACTTCAGCAGTTGAAAAAAAATTTAGGGAACAACTTAAAAAGTGAGTGAAGTTATGGATTTAATCTGCGTTTTTGGCCTCCATGAAGTCTTTAGACGAAAATTTTGGACTTTTTTTGCCAGATTTGATGTATAACCTTCGTGTACAGCAGGCATCCATAACTAAAATTCCTGCCAATGGTTTTTTCAACACTGAATGAGTGAAAGGTATATTTGTGTTTGCTAGAGATGGGGAGTCGGACTCAGACCATTGTACACAATATTTGTGATTCATAGCCTAATTACACCAACTTGTACATATCTACTGAGTTACATCAAAT